CCCCCCCCCCCCTACTTTTTAGCGCGCACCTCAACCTAATTGGATCTCATGCCGACGTCTCTACATCATCCAGCCTCTTCCAATTTCTTTCTCCATTTCCCATGCAATAACCTAATTTTAGGATTATTCTATTTGTAATCTTCCGGTTTTTTAATTTTTCAATTCCAAAAAATTAAAAATCGTCATACCCCAAATGGGTAATATTCACATAAATAATTATTCATAAAAACAATTGTCATTAAATATTAAAATAACGGCAATGTATGAATTTACTAATGAAATAATGATATATATACTAATTAATTCATAATAAGAGAAAAAAAAAAGTCAAGCTGGGAGATGGTTTTGTTAGGATTTAGAACATATGTCTTGACGCCATCATAACTCGCTCGGTCATGCCATCAAGAATGGGCCTTGTCAATGGAGATCGAGATGGCAAGATGAGATGCGACGTTGCATTGAGAGACCTTGACCCGAGCAGAGCCAAGGTCGAGCCGAATGACTTGGCCTAGCGTAGAGGCAAGTCGGATGTGTCGCAGACGATTGAACATGCATGTGCAGGTGGCGTGTGTGGTTGAACAAGCTTGGATTCCGCACAAGTGATGTTCGATTGGCGAAGACAAACCTCGCCTAAGGTCCGACGAAGCCACAAAGTCGGGGCGAAAAAACATATACGGGGCTTAATTCCCCTCAAGGCTAGCGTGTCAAGATCATGACGCCTGCGGCGAAAAATGTAGGACCGTGACAGTTGGTAGGCTTCGCCAAAAGGCCTCGTACCAATGGAGATAGTATTCCTCACTTATAAATCCATAATCATTCTCTAAATTAGCCAAGGTGGGACTCACTCCCAATATTCCTCAACAATCCTCCCCTCGAACAAAGTACACTATAAACTTCCCCTGAGGCTTATGGAGCTCTTGAATAGCCTCTCCTTAATCAAGGCTCGACTCATTTCTCTGGAACCCTCGAACAAAGTACACCATTTGTTCAACACTTTAGTCACTTTTGATTACACCTTCGAGGCTCACAGTTCTTTGTTCGATATTTGAGGATTCGATTGATATGACTAAGTTTAGGGCATGACTCTGATACCAAATGTTTGGAATCACGACTCTCTACAATGTGACGTAAATTTTTTTAACTTTGTTTAATAGACTAAATAATATATATTGTCCACTTTGGTTCGTTACGTATCGCCGTCATATATTTTGTTCATATCATCAACAATTTTTTAACTTAATAATAATATGATATTTTTATGTATTTTTTTAAAGTTTTTAAAGTTTTATTTTTTCAGCTCCCATTTATTATACTAAATCAACTTAGACAATGACAGGTGAATTAAGTTAGGGCCACAATTTTAAATACTTCATTTTCCGGGGGTCGAATTGAAAATAATTTGATCCTTTTCACCCAACTCCATTTTCTCTCCACAAACGCCTCAACGGCTACATACATGCAAAATATGAATTAAATATTTCAACAGAAATAAATGCATGTTCTTGGAATTTGCGGCAGTTTGATCCAATGATATTCCGCCACCTGTACTCATATTTGACATCCTGGCCTGGACTAACGTTTATCAGAAAATTGCAAACTATCTGGCTACGCCGTGTACGACTGGAACACGGTAAGAGACAAGAAAGCCATGTCCACCGACATGTCTATAACCGCCACGTGGCGGATCCAACGGGTGGATTATGTCAAGTACAAATGTGTGATTTTGATCAGGGTTGTCATAGTTCAATTAGTACACGTGTCAGAATCTGGATTGCTGGCGTACTTGGTTTACATGCATCGGATTCGTCTAGCCTATTTATATGCAGAACAATGGATTAGAAGCAAAGCAAATTCTGTGAGCCAAAGTGTTCGATTCTGCTGTCGTTTGGCGCTTTTCATTTTTCTTTCCGGTAAAGACGATGGGATTCTCTGGGGTTCGATTTATTATGGTTCTTGCTTTGTTGGCAGCCACGTGTATGGCTCAGGCGCCGGCGCCGGTACCGGCACCAGCACCGGCTCTGGGTCCTTCACAGCCTCTACCACCGGCACCAGCCACGCCGGCTTCTTCTCTGACTCCGGCGTCGCCCACACCCGCTCCGGAGACTAGTGCGCCTCCTCCAGCTCCAATTACTCCTTCTGGGTCTCCAGCCGGTGGTCCTGTTGTGCCACGTGTCGCTTCTCCTCCTTCATCAGCTCCGGAAGGACCGCCAGCAGACAAGCCAACCGGAGCAGCATCGCAGATAGGCGGAGCGGGTACGTTGGGGATGGCTGTGGCCGGAAGCCTGTTGGCAGTGATGTTAGCAGCGTAGAGGTGATGGGATTGCGTTGCATTTGAATATGGTTTCGATTTATTTATATTATATGTCGTGTTTTTTTGTATTTTGATAGTGATGATTATTTGAAGATTCTTTTGTTGTTGTGATGAGCTCGTTTATATTCATTTAAATTAAGGAGAAATGAATCCTTTGTACATCGGATATCGAATTTAAGATGATGAATAAGAGTTTCTTTTGTTCAGTGTGGTATTTATAATTGTTGGATGACGAAAGTTTCACGTCGACTAATTTATAATCAAATAATATTTTCTATTGGTATGAAACATTTTGGAGAAGTCTAAAGTAAAGCCATGAGAGTTTATGTTCAAAGTGGACAATATCATACCATTGTAGAGAGTCGTGTTCATACAGTTGTGAGTACGGTGTAATGGAAGGAATCAAATTCCAACTACAACCCACCGTTGACTTGTGTTCATCTTCTTCCACCTTTTACTTGGAAACTTGTTTGTTTCTATTTTATTTATACCCTAAATTAATAATAAAACAAAATACTTTTCAAATATTTTTACAATAAATTTTCCAACGACCACCTGGCGATTTTCATTCCATTTATTGCGGAATGGGCCACAACAGGAAATGTCCGAATCACGGCAGGGTCCAGACCGGCAGCGTCGGAGGCGGCGTTGAACTCCAAGTAGTGGCGGAGATAGACGGATGAGAATGGCTATTGGGCTTCTTAATTGGCCCAACTTGAAATAGTGAGGTATTAAAAAAGGGACTGAAGTGCGGAACAAGATCGAAGAAGACTCTATGATATACTTTGTTTAAAAGAGAATCGTTGAGGATGGTTGTGAGGGAGTCGAGAGCCATTTTTTTTTTTTTTTCTCGAGCCAAATATCTGACGTGGAGATATTCATTTGGGTTCACTTTTTAAACCCTTGGTCCCCCGTCTACATATCAACATTAAAAATCTTATCTTTCTTCTTCTATTTACTTGATTGACCGCCACCATATGGCCACTTACCCCGCCGTCAATGTCGCCGCCGTGGACTGTCAAAAACAAGTCCATTCATGGCCACTCTGCCGATCTCTCATCGAATTCCTCATCCCCACTTGTAATTGTGCCTTCGCTGAAGAAGAGCCAACGTATTCCTCAAAGCCCTTATTTCCCTCTCCCGCCACCGCCGCTAATTCCGTCACTGGCAAAATATTCTGTTACCGGAGGAGAAAAGTCAACTTCTGTATCCAAACCGCGATTCTCGCTAGATAAATGAGAGGCGGCGTCCTCATAATGGCCGAAGTCCACCTCCAAGTCAAATTCTGGTGGGCTGTCGATGAGGTGAAGAGTCTACGTTGACTAATTTATAAATATATCATAAATTTATAAATAAGAAATATATCTTGAGTGTGAGAACTTAAAAAAAAATCATCAAAGTTTATGTTTAAAGTCGACAATATCATACTACAAATTATTTATTAGTTAGCGTACAGAATGTACTTCAACGGTATGGAAGTTGGGTACACATTAAGGTGGCAGGCTTCGGCGACGGACGTGGGGACGCTGCGGCGGATGGGGACGGTGGTGGAAGGCGGCGGAATCATCGGCGGCGATGGTGAAGAGCTCTTTGTTCCTCTTTGTTCTAATCCTTTTGAGCTTGTGGTTTTTTGGGCAGCTTTTGGTGTTACAGTGGCCCTATCTATGTCACCACCACCTTCAATTTGTCGTTTGGATGAACATTATATAAATTATATGTCTGTTTGTGACGTGGATGGAAATCTTTTAGGCTGCCAAAAGAAGCCACGTGGGAAAATTTAAAACTTTAGCCTCCGCAATTATAACAATGTCATATCTAGACAAAAAGGGGGAAAATGAAGTTAATTAAGTGATAAATAATAATAATAACCACGTCAACATTTAAATAAATCATAGATTAAGGAATGCAATATGAAATAATGTCTTAATTATGTTACAAAAATGAGAAGTTTCATTCTATTTTTCAATTTTAAAGTATTATTACACGATTGAAGAGACCGAAAAATAGGCAAATTCAAGATAGAGAAACACTCCCAAGTGACACATTAACACAGGGTGTGTTTATTTGTCGATCCTTAAAAAAATCGAAGTACTTATTGCATTCTTAAAAAGAGATGCATTATAAATAGAGAGGTCAATTTTATTCGTGGGGATCCATCTGGGACGGAAGGAGGATTCTCCGTTTAGATGGAGAGGAAGTGGGGACATTTTTTCCCCATTGACTCAAGGACGAGATTATATTTTTTGTCCTTGCCCCACCCACATCCCGCTTAATATACATATATTTTCTCTCTATATATATATATATATTGAAAAAGGAAAACTTTAAAATAACTATATTTAAAAGAATAATAAACGATAAAAAATTAATCGGAGGAACTCGATCTTTACTCTAATCTTGGCAAAAATATACGAAAATTTTATGAACGTCTCCATTTTCGGCACGTTAATATATCTAATTATAAACATGTGGATAGGCCCCAAAGTTTTGATAATCACTTCGAACAGTTTAAATTTTAGTAAATCAAATAAGTTGAGGGGTATTTTTCTAAAATTGAACCTCATCTTTTTGGGCAAATATATAAATAAAAAGACTTTGTCGGTAGTCAGAATTGGTTATCCATCTGGATTGAGCTGACACCATAATCAGAGTTGATGGGCCCTTGACACATAGGCCCATCATAGACTTTGGACCATATTCTGATTTTTGACTTTTCAACACTGTTACACAACCCGGCCCATTTCGGCTTTGTACTTCTTTGTCGGCTAGCCTGTAATGATACCATTTCTCATTTCTTTTTCCAAAAAATAATTATTTCATTTTCCTTTTATTTTGTCAAAGTTCATTTATTTTTAAATAAAATTATTCATCTATTCAATGTATTTCCATGAAAGGAGTTCCAAAGTGACATGTCCGGTTCTCGACCATGTTTATAAATAGTCTGGACCTAAATTTGACTACGTAACAGTTTAATAGCTCAAGTTAACTATTAGCAGATATTATAATATTTTCCTTCTTAATTGACGTGGGATCTCAAAATTCATCCTATCTTTGGGGTCTAGTGTCTTCGCTGTCACTCGTTCTTCTCTCCAATCAAAGTGGGAAATTAAGTTCCAATCCCGAGAGGAAAAAGTGCAATATGTATTGAATGTATGCGTCACCCCTCGAAAAGCTCTAAAAGCTTTTAATTCCCACAAACTTTGAATTGTAAGATAGAGCGAAAGGTGGAGGGTTTTGAGATATATAAACACATGAGAATTGAAATAAGCACATAGAAATGGACCCAAGAAAGCAAGAGGGGACCCTACAACCAGCTGGGTGCGATGGATTGGATGGAACCCTCAACCCATCCTATTCGGTTTGGCTTTATTTGGGAATGGAAACTTGTTGAAAATTATTAGTGGAAGATCAATACTATCTCCATTAGTATGAAGTATTTTGGAGAACCCTAAAGCAAAGTCACGAGAGCTTATGCTAAAAGTAGACAATATCGTATCATTGGTGAAGATCTTTGATTCCTAACAGAACTGTAATTAAGAGCACCCGACTCAACTAGGTTTTGCCTTATCCCACCACCATCATCCTTTTCTTGCCTAAACCCTATGCAAAAGAACAACTAAGGTCTGAGTTAGATGAGTGTCCCCTATGGAAAAAACCATCACCACACATCACATCCCAATTGAATGCCCCTTTTTTCTAATTTGGCTTCTTCCTCTCTCTCTCTCTATTCAGATTCTTCTCCCCTCTAAACCCAAGCTACCATGTACCTAACACTTCCCCCACCTTCTTGCATATTCACTTTAAAAAAGAGAAGGAAAAAGGGCTCTTTTTCTTCCACCCAAAGAACCATTTTCAAAGAAAAAGTTGAGAATTGTGATTGTATAGTGTATGGATACATGTAGAAGTTGCATGAATAGTTTAAGATTTGTTGTTGATTGAAGTTGATATTCATGGGGATTGTGGGCAGGGAGCGGAAGGTTTGGAGACATGTTTGTGCATGGGAATAGTGGTGGTTCTTCATGAGGTGTTTATTCTTCATGAGGTGTTTATTCTTCATGAGGTGTTTATTCTTCATGAGGTGTTTATTCTTCATGAGGTGTTTATTCTTCATGAGGTGTTTAGGTGTTTAATTGTTAGATAGGCAGAGAAAGAGAGGGTTTGAGTTTGAGTTTTGAGTACCAAAATCAATGAATGTGGAGAAGAAGAGAGGAGAATTGCATGTCTTTTTGTGGGAGTCAAAGGCATAATGAGTATGTCCCTTTCTAATTACAAAATTGAGGACATCATCCATACTGTTTCTCCAACTCTTCTCCACCTTTCTTTTCTCCTTAACTCATCTCTCTCACCTAATCCTTTTTCCTTTTCTTCTTCTTTAAATTCTCCTTTCAAATCTTGGCAACAAACCAATTGGTTATGGATTTGTATCCATATGTGGACGTAATTTGCACCCATTTGCGCACGTGATCTGATATCCCTAGTGAGAGGAACGAGTATCAGCGAGCACGCTAGGCTCCAAATAGAGTGGATTATGAGATCCCACATCGATTTGAAAGGGGAACGAGTGTCAACAAGGACGTTGGGCTCCAAATGGAGTGGATTATGAGATCCCACATCGATTAAAAAGAGAAACGAATAATTCTTTATAGATGTGAAAACCTCTCACTGATAGAAGGTTAAGAATGTTTGCATAATCCACCGCACCTAAATAGTGTGAAAATTATCTTATTTATAATCAAATAAATTATAAGGATATGAAAATAGTAATAATTTGAAATAACACCGAATGGAAAGATATCTATGATAATAAGGCAAATATTAAATATATAATAAAATATTAAATATAATATATATGGTAAAATATAATTTATTACTAAATATCCTTAACAAAAACTAAAAGTTACGTTGTACTTGGTCAGTTAATTTTACTAAGAATAAGCGATTTTGAAAATAATTAAAAATATATATATTAAAGAAAAAAAAAAGAAAAAGAAAAAAAAAAGAAGTCTAATCTGAATTCTTTTGTTTTTGAGGAAGGCTAACGTGAAAGTAACTATTTATCCGTTTTCTATTTCTGTCGGTTTGCTGGCGATGAACTGTACCGGTCCCGATCCCGACGTAGTGGCGGCCTAGTTACGTCGACTTCAACGAAATCACCCCCGGCTTTCATGAGCCGAGCCGACTAGCCGAGCCTTCAGATGAGCCACAGTTCACATATCACATCTTTCAAAAATTTGAGCCAAAATATATGTTTGAAAAATATCGTATTTTCAATTAACTTTTTATATTAAAAAAAGTAAATAGTTGGATTTTATTACTGAACTAAGGTGATGAAATATTTTGCTAAAATAGGCCTAAATTTCATCATTTTTAAAAAATAAGCTTACATTTCATATAACATAAAATAAACATTATAATATATTTCAGAAGCAAACCCAAATTAAATATTTTAAGCATTTTAATATAAATAAAATAAAACTTCCAACAACCAATCTAATACGTGACAATATTTTACAGAAACTTAGAATAATTAATTAATTTAAAATTATAGATTGCTATAACTGCACAGACAAAGTATCAAAAAGAGATTTATTTTTTCCTTTTTATTAATTCCAAAACTGTCCCTATACATCCGTTTTAAAATTTCGCTTTAGACGGGGGCCGTAATTTGCATTTGGTGTGAATTTGAGACGAATTTGGCTTTCTCAAACTACAGTGAGCCCAACCACAGTTAGATTCTAACCACGAGTTGGGTTATTTAAAGAGAGAGAAAGTATTAGTCTAATCGTAATCGGGCGGAAACTGCCCTCGTATTCGTCTCGTCTTCGTCTTCTTCCTCTCTTCTTCTTCATCTTCATTGCGCACTCTAATAATCCAGTAGAGAGAGAAACGACCAAATTAAAGAGTGAGAGAGAGAGAGAGAGAGAGTTGTTCTTGGGCAATGAATCAACCAATCCTCTGTTTCTTCTTCTTGTTCTGTAGGCCTAGTTTTTGGGTTTGATTTCGCCATTCGTGAGGGTCGATTTGAATTGGGTTTTGTTGTTTGAATCTTAATTTTGATGGGTTCAGAGAGGGAAGGAGGATCGAAGAAGATTGAGAAAGATCCAGGAGAAACAACAGGGAATTTGTACAGAGTCGGCAGAGTTTCACTTATGGAACGTCCTCTGTTTCTTCCATTAACTCTAAAGCTTTCTGCAACTTCCAACCATTGTTTGAGCTCCTAAAAATTCTCTCTTTACACTTCAAATAAATAACGCCTCGACAGTTTTATTAATAGGATTTGTTTCTTGAAATTCTTCCGTCATGAAGAGACATGGCAGCTCAGATTCCTTGGGAGCTCTGATGTCCGTCTGTCCTACTTCAGGTTTTAAATATAAACAACATTTTTGTTTTATATGTTCGTTTCTGCTTAATTTCCATTTTCCCGACATCCCCATGTGATCTTATTTCTTGTCCCTTTTGGACCCAATCACTTGCAAGAATCTTATCAGTACTTAATTGCAGAAGAACAGAGTCCGAGAAACCGCCATGTTTATGGAATGGAGTTTCAGTCGATGTTGGAGGGCTTAGACGAAGAAGAAGGGTCCATGGAAGAACACTGCCATTTGGGCGGGAAGAAAAGGAGACTGGGCGTAGATCAAGTCAAGGTGTTAGAGAAAACATTCGAGATTGAAAACAAGCTCGAACCAGAGAGAAAAGTGAAGCTCGCTCAAGAACTTGGCCTGCAACCGAGGCAAGTGGCTGTTTGGTTCCAAAACCGCCGAGCCCGTTGGAAAACTAAGCA